GAGAGCTCTGGTCCCCAAAGATCGTCAAGGTCCAGTTCTTTTTTTTGCTATTATTGCCTATTGAAATTGGTTACTCCAGTGGGTCCAGAAATGTGATTTGGCCAGAATGAAGGCGTTTCGTGCATATTTGATTCGTTTGACTGCGCCATATTAAAAGGTTAAGATGATCTAGTCGGTATGCACAATCTGTGTTGAACTAATCTCTTATAAAAATTCAAGAATTATGTTGAAGTGAAACGTCTGCTCTAAGAATATCACAAATAGTGAATGAACGACCGCTGGTCGATTCATTTTAGAAGTTGACTAGTATCTAACCAAAACCGAAGGTCAAAGGAATATAACAAAAGAAATCACAACATTTTCTATTTATTTGCATGCGATTTAAAAATTTAGGGCTAAATAGGGATCTTATAATATTTTGCGACAGTTCTGAAAATCACGTCCGTTTGCCAAAACGAAGGTCATCGGCTCAACCGTAGCCAAAAAGGTTACAAAAGAATCCACAATAAGCAATGGGTGACGTTGAACTTGTATTCACGCTCGTCGTCGTTTGTGGCGTGTTTTCTTCAGTTGTCAGACTTGTCGTGTAGCTCGAGGTCAGACTTGTAGTTTGACTTGTCGTTTCCAAACTTCTTGGCGGCTGTTCTAAGTAGTTATTGGCTAAGTTCATCGTAATTGAACCAGCGCCAAAACTGTTTCGAACTTCTCTGAAATTTTTCACGTACCAGTATGTGCGAGGCACCTTCGAGAAGTTATCAGGGTCCAGCGGCCAAGTGTAGAAAAGACAGACACTCTTTCGCGAGTTCCAGCTGAAAGATTGGCATCCTTCGGTGTTCGTACAAAATTGGTTGCATTCGTCAGGATACATGAATTTGTTAGACACTTTCATACCACTTTCTTGGTCGGCAGGCAGGCCCTCTATATAAATCAGGCGCTTGGAGTCAATTAGGCCTCCAACCAAAATTACACTTGTCAATTTTATCACGGCCCAAAAACAAAAAAAAATTTGCGTCGCTTCAAATTTTTTTTCTGTTTTCCGATTTGCATACATATTTTTCTGATAGCTTATCCTAACTGAAATAAACAAAGATAAACAAACATGGAGTACACCAGGAAACAACACTAACACGCAGATCTAATGAAAGGATTTCATTGGTAATTTATTCGTTTACAGGAAGAAAATGGAAAAAAATTATAAATCAGCTGTTCATCGGTTTTTATTGATTTCAAATCAGCTGTTCATGGCAAATATGGACGCCGTTGAAACAGTTTTGGCTGAATGTTTTCATCCGCACTTTTGGAAATAGAAAATAAAGATGAAAATATCAAATTGAAAAATGTTTTTTTTTTGAATAAATTATTACATAATTGCTATAAATACAACGAATGCTATAAAAATACACTGCTAGAAACAAAATATTCCATGCTATTTATAAGTGATGTTTTTTTTTAAACAGTATCAAAGTAAAAAAAGTTCTACATTATTAATCGTAAGATAAAAAAATAGAGAGAAATACAAGTAATCAAATAAGACAAAAACCGATCAATTGAAATACATATTTGCCATCCCTCAGTCCAAAAAACACAAGACCACACCACCTAACATTGGTGTGCTTAATTTTTTTTTTAAAAAAGGATATGGGAGAGTGGGGGACAATGTACTGAAGGTGATGTGATGAATGAAAGGGTTCAACATTGAGTGGATCAAGTAATTATGGGCAGGGGAATATAAAGGATTTTATAGAGGGGCATTTTCAAAAAAATTTTAGATTATTTTGTCTTATTTTTGGGTCAAGAATCAAAATATTTTTCCAAGTTTTCCGAAAGCATTTTACCAAATTTTCAACGCCGCAAATTAGAATTTGAAAAGACAGTGTTGCCAAAAAATTCGTCGAGATATGTTTTTCAGAACTTATGAAAAATTTTGACAATAAATCTTGCTTATATTTTCGGCATGCGCTCTCTTCTGAAATTCAATAAATATTGACGCCAACGGCACCTTTATGAATACTTTGAGTTCGGTCTGCCAAAAGAGATAACTTAAAATGGTGCCAAAAGGAGGACGCCTTTTGTCGACAATGAGTGAAATCGCTGAAGAAAAGCGGACGCCCCATCCCTTCCTTTCTAATCCGAGTTTATTTTTGTGGCATTTTTTTTTGCAGACAATTGAAGAAAAATATTTCATTTTTCTCTTTCTAAAAATCTGATTAAAAAATCTGAAGCAATGATTCATTTTGAAAGAAAAATGAAGAATGTTCTCAAAAAGCATTTAAGATTATTACAACATAAAACATCCAAAGAAAATTTTGTAGAGTTTACACTCGATCTTTATACACGAATCTTTGCGAGGCCAAATTTTCCACAAAATAGGCCCACACATTTGTGTCTGTATGTTCCTGTATTCCAGAGACAAGTCTTTAGATATGTTCCGAAATTTAATTGGATTTTCAAAAACAAAATTTCAGTGGATTCGGCGCACAAATACCTGTAACGTCAATTTTGTCACCACATTTGTTTTATTGCGGACTCTGCAACGAACAAAAATAGGTAGTTGTTCTAGATTCCGCAACTGTAAGTGGATTCCGTAAAATGTAAGTGGAATCCGCAAATGTAAGTGGAATCCGCAAAATTTGTAAGCGGAATCGGCAACTGTAAGTGGAATTTGCAAATTGTAAGTGGAATCCTTATTTTTGTTTATTATTAAACTTCCATATGGACAATTAGAGATAGAGGTAGAAATTTTGATTTTTTATCTAGCGCAACGCGCAATTTGAAAGCAAGGAACTATCCATTTGTCAGCGGAATCCACACGTAATCTTAAAACATTGGTTAACTATGCGGATGTCAAATGTTTCCTTATATTTATCGGATGACCAGATGATTTTTGGGATCGGGAAGTACAATCAACAAAAGCCATGCAACTCAGGGTTTAAAATGGCAGTTCATGTTTGAAATGGGGGCAGTTAAGTCCCTCATCAGTGTTTGAGATGATATGGTTCAGATATGGTGAAGAAATCATCATCAGTATTTGAGATGAGATGGTTCAGTTTGAACTGACAGCTAAACCACTCATCAGTATTTGAAATGAGATGGTTCTGTTGGTTAAGAGATCATCATCAGTATTTGAGATGAGATGGTTCAGTTGGTTCACAAATCATCATCGCATTCATCAGTATCTGAGATGAGAAGGTTCAGTATTTGAGACAAGATAAAGGACTGTTTCTGAATCCGTTACCTCGAAATCTCAATATTCCAAAAAAGCGTCTCTGTTGTCTCAATGGCTCACTATGGTATTCGTAGTCTCGTGTGTTTGTTGAAATATTATTCAGATAAAGTTTGCGTTTACCTCTCTTATTGAACTTAGTTTTCTCCAACATTGTACTCGCATCGTTTGATGTGTTTGGGTTCTGATGGTTGAGCGTATTTAAAATAAAAGCTTGCAAAGAGTCAAATGGAATATCTTTATCCTGACAAACGAATGGTGTAATACTTCCGAACTGCAGACTCGAAAAGAAATCACTTGTTTCGTCAGCTAAAGAGTGTGAAGATTAACAGCACCGAATGGTTCTCTCAGACACTGTTTTAACCAAACCGCTCATCAATTATCTTGTTTTTAGCGAAGAACATTGTGGATGGAATGATTGTAAGCACTTCTGGTCTTGGGATGCCCGGCTTGTAAGGCAGTTTCAAGTTCACAGACGCAGACGACGGCCTGCAGAAATTGATTTTGGTACTTTCGTCATCTAAGGTGAGCCAAATTTGATTTGACAGTATGCGTACGGAACAATTTTGTGCAGTTGATACTGACATAATGAAACGTGAGTTTTAGTGCTGAACGTTTTGAAGTTTTGTTACAAAAATGGACCACATTATTTTGAAATGAACAGAGACATGCGGACACAGCTTGAAAAATGGGTTAAAGACAGCTCTCCCTACAAGTTACAAAAATAGAATCTGTTTAGCAAAAAGTTGTGTCGATGTAAATATTATCAAAACTGTGAACAACAGCTTCTTGTAAACTGTCGAAAAGATGATTTACTCGCTTTGTATGACCAACTTGCCATCTGAAGCTGAAGTCGCCAGTAGAAAGGACAGATTTTTTGGAAGGTAGTAAGAACATTACTGAACCTGGACAGTGACTTGCAGGAATAAGAGTGACAATAAATGTAAAAGTCTTGTCCTCTTCCGATGAAGCTTTCAACCTTATCTCATGATCTGAATCCAGTGGTTTTATATGGAGTTAAATGAAAATAAAGCGGAAATGCACTCAACAAAGCAGTCAAAATTTCATGACAAAACTTTAAAAGTTATGTGTTTTAACCTTTAAAAGAGCTAAGGCTCATTAAGGCCCGCCATGTGATCTGTATGACAGTCCAAAAGAAAACAAACCGAGGTTTGAGGTACTCACCATTGAAGCAATCAATTGAAACCCCAGGATGTCTGATATTGGACCGGCAAACTCTCACATGAAATTGGAAGGGAAAAGGAGGTATGAACAGTGAGGTAATAAAATGAGGATTGAAGAAATATTTCTATTTTCAACCTTCAATCTATATTTTCTGTAATTAAGAAAAGAGAAGACCACCACTTTTTTAATCCCTGTGAGCCCGTTTTGAATGATAACATCTATCCTAGGTTTAGTTTTAGCCAAAGTTTATTCCTTTAGGCGCATCATTAAAAACAATAACAATTAGCTTCAGTAAGAGCCAATTTGCTCAAACAAAAAAGAAAGACTTGGGAAATTTACTTCTATTAACAACGAAAACTAAACAATTTTCACAAAAGAAAAAGAAATATGTGGAAATTTTAATTCCACTAACTACAAAAACTAAACAGTTTATATGATATGCGCACCAATATAAAGATTCGACATCAGGAAGCACAGTAGGAAGTACAATTGTGGAAGGCAGTTTTGTCACAAAAGACTAACTAACTAAAATTTCAAAATAGAATTGCTTTGCTGCTAAGTTAGCATTAGACAAGTGGGCTGTTAAGACTGATTAGACCAGAGGCTGATGAGTGAGTGAGGATTCGACTTGCCTTACGGATATGTGAGGATAGGACTGGCAAATGATTACGACGCGCCAGATAATGTATGTAGGCATACTGAGGCATACTGTGTAGGCATATTGTGAGGCATACTGTGTAGGCAGTCTGTGTGGAGGCATACTAAAAAAACCAATTTTATAACAAACTAATTATAACAAAAAAATTAGTTTTCTAACAAACTAATATTTTAGTAAAATATTTTGAGATTTGAGATTTTAAAACTTACTGATATGTGTGGGCCTGTGTGTAGGACACTCTGTAGGATACTGTGCGTAGGCAAACTGAGCCATACTCTCTAGGCATACTATTTGTAGACCTACTGAAAAAACAGTTTTCTTACAAACTAGTCATAAAAAATTATAGTATTATTTTTTGAGATTTGAGATTGTGAAACTTACTGATAAGTGAGGATCTGTGTGCAGGATACTGTTTGTAGGCATACTGAGGCATTACTGTGTACCCATACTGTGAGGCATACTGTGAGGCAGACTGTGACGTATACTGTGTAGGATACTGTATGTGGGATACTGTGGGTAAGCATACTGTTTAGGCTTACTGTGAGGCATATTGTGTAGGCATACTGTGTGTAGGCATACTGTGTGTAGGCATACTAAAAAACACAGTTTTCTATCAAACGAGTCATAAATTGTTTTAGTATTAGATTTTGAGATTTAAGATTTTGAAACTTTCCGATTATTGAGGGTCTGTGTGCAGAATACTGTGTATAGTCATGCTGAGGCATACTGTGCAGGCATACTGTGTGGCATACTGTGTAGGATACCCTGTGTAGGATAATGTGTGTAGGCATACTGAGGCGTACTGTATAAACATCTTGTGGGCAAAATATGAGGCATACTGAGTCGGCAATTGGTGTAGGCATACTGTTTGTAGGCATAGTAAAAAACAGTTTTCTAAAAAACTAGTCAAAAATATTTTCTTATTATAATTTGAGATTTGAGATTTTGAAACTTACCGATGAGTGAGGTTCTGTGTGTAGGAATTTGTGAGGCATACAGCGTAGGCATACTGTGAAGCATACTGTGACGTATACTGTGTAGGATACTGTATGTAGGATAGTGTGTGTAGGCATACTGAGGCATATTTTATAGGCATACTATAAAGCATACTTTGAGTCATACTGCATAGGCGTACTGTGTGTAGGCATACTAAAAAAAATTTCAACAAACTAGTCATAAAATATTTTAGTATTATATTTTGAGATTTGAGGTTTTGAAAATTACTGATAAATGAGGGTCTGTGTGTAGGATACTGTGTGTAGGCATGCTGAGTCATACTCTGCAGGCATTCTTTGAGGCATACTGTGAGACATGATGTGAGGCATACTGTGTAGGATACTGTGTGTTGGATACTGTGTGTAGGATACTGTGTGTAGGCATACTGTATAAACACAGTGTCAGGCATAATGTGATGCATATTGTGTAGGCATAGTGTGTAGGCATAATGTATGTAGGGATACTAGAAAAAACCGTTTTCTAACGAAATATTCATAAGTATTTTCTTATTGTGTATTTCGAAAATTGAATTTTTGAAGCTTACTGATGAGTGAGGGTCTGTGCGTAGGATACTCTGTGTAGGCATACTATGAGGCTTACTGTGACGTATACTGTGAAGGCATACTGTGTGTAGGCATTTTGAGGCATACTGTGTAGGCATACTGTGAGGCATACTGTGAGGCATACTGTGTAGTCATACTGTGTGTAGACATTTTAAAAAAAGAAACTAGTCAAAATAGTCGAACAAACTAGTCATAAATTATTTCAGTGTGATTTTTTGAGATTTGAGATTTTGAAACTTGCTGATGAGTGAGGGTCTGTGTGCAGGGTACTGTGTGTATGCTAATAAACTAGTCATAAAATATTTCAGTGTGATATTTTGAGATTTGAGATTTTGAAACTTATTGATGAGTGAATTTCTGTGTGTAGGTTACTGTGTGTAGGCATACTGTGTGTAGGCATACTGTGTGTAGGCATACTAAAAAAGTCAATTTTCTAACGAATTATTCATAAAAAAACTTAGTATAACATTTCGAGGTTCGGGATGCTGTGAGGCACTGTGTGAGGCATACTGTGTAGGATACTGTGTGTAGGCAAACTGAGGCAAAATGTATAGTTATACTGTGAGGCATACTAAGAATCATACTGCGTAGGCATACTGTGTGTAGGCATACTAAAAAAAATTTCAAACAAACTAGTCATAAAATAGTTTAGTATTATATTTTGAGATTTAAGATTTTGAAACTTACCGATAAATGAGGGATTCTGTGTAGGATACTGCGTGTAGGCATTCTGAGGCATACTGTGCAGGCATTCTTTGAGGCATACTGTGATATATGATGTGAGGCATACTGTGTAGGATACTGTGTGTAGGATACTGTGTGTAGGATACTGTGTGTAGGATACTGTGTGTAGGCATACTGAGGCATACAGTCCAAACATACTGTCAGGCATACTGTGAGGCATACTGTGTACGAATAGTGTGAAGGCATACTGTGTGTAGGCATACTATAAAAAACAGTTTTCCAACAAAATAGTCATAAATATTTTCGCATTAAATTTTGAAATTTGAGTTTTTGAAGCTTACTGATGAGTGAGGGTCTGTGTGTAGGATACTGCGTGTAGGCATAATGGGTCATACTGAGTAGGCATACTGTGAAGCACACTGTGACGTATATTGTATAGGATACTGTATGTGGGGTACTGTGGGTAGGCATACTGCATAAGAATACTGTGAGGCACACTGTGAGGCATACTGTGTGAAGGCATACTCTGTGTAGACATACTGAGGCATACTGTAAAAGCATACTGTTAGGCATACTGTGAGGCATACTAAAAAAAGTTTTCGAACAAACTAGTCAATAAATATTTTAAAATTTTTCTTTGAGATCTAGGATTGTGAAACTTGCTGATAAGTGAGGTTCTCTGTCTAGGATACTGTGTGTAGGCATACTGAGGCATAATGTATAAACATACTGTGAGACATACTATGAGGCAAACTGTGTAGGCATACTGTGTGTAGGCTTACAAAAAAAACGGTTTTCTAACAAAATAGTCATAAACATTTTAGAATTATAATTTGAGATTTGAGATTGTAAAACCGACTGATAAGTGAGAGTCTGTGTTTAGGATACTGTGTCTAGGCATACTGAAGCACACTGTGTAGGCATACTGTGAAGCATACTATGAGGCATAATGTGAGGCAAAATGTGTAGGATAATGTGTGTAGGCATACTGAGATTTACTGTAAAAGCATACTGTTAGGCATACTGTGAGGCATATTGAGAGGAATACTGTGTGTAGGCACACTAAACAAAAAAATTTCTATTAACTAGTCAATAAATATTTTAAAATCTTATTTTGAGATCTGAGATTGTGAAACTTGCTGATAAGTGAGGTTATGTGTCTAGGATACTGTGTGTAGGCATACTGAGGCATACTGTATAAACATACTGTGTAGGCATACTGTGTGTAGGCGTACTAAAAAAACAGTTTTCTAACAAACTAGTCATAGACAATTTAGTATTACAATTTGAGCTTTAAGATTTTGAAACTTACTGATAAGTGAGGGTCTGTGTGTATGAAAGTGTGTGTAGGCATACTGAGGCATACTGTGAAGGCATACTATGCGGCACACTGTGAAGCATACTGTGTAGGCATACTGTGTGTAGACATAATTTAAAAAAAAAACAAATTTCTAACAAACTAGTCATAAAATATTTCAGTGTGATATTTTCAGACTTGAGATTTTGAAACTCACTGATGAGTCAGGGTCTGTGTGTAGGGTACTGTGTGTTGGCATACTTCGTGTAGGCATACTAAATAGATCAGTTTTCAACTAAACTAGTCATAAAAAATTTCAGTATAACAATTTGGGGTTTGAGATGCTGTGGGGCACAGTGTGAGGCATACTGTGTAGGATACAGTGTGTAGTATACTGTGTGTAGGCAAACTGAGGCAAACTGTATAGGTAAACTGAGAGGCATTTTATGAGGCTTACTGTGAGGCATACTGTGTAAGCATATTGTGTGTAGGCATACTAAAAAACAATTCCTAACAATTTAGTCATAAAATAATTAGTTTTATTTTTTGAGATTTGAGAATTTGGACTTACTGATAAGTGAGAATTTGTGTTTTGGATACTATTTGTAGGCATACTGTGAGACATACTTTGAGGCATACTATGTAGGCATACTGTGTGTTGGAATAATAAAAAAAACAGTTTTCTACCAAACTAGACATGAAAAAGTTTGGTTTTATTTTTGGTGATTTGAGATGCTGTGTTTCAAACTGTGTGTAGGCCTGCTAAAAAAACAGATTTCTAACAAACTAGTCATAAAATATTTCAGTATTTTATTTTGAGTTTTGAGATTGTGAAACCCACTGACAATTGAGGGTCTGTGTCTAGGATACTGTGTGTAGGCATACTGAGACATACTCTGTAGGCATACTGTGAGGCATACTGTGAGGCATACTGTGTGTAGGCATATTGAAAAAACAGTCATTTAAATTAGTCGAAAAATGTTTTTGTTTTTTTTTGTTTGAGATTTGAGAATTTGAAACTTACTGATAAATGAGGCTCTGTGTCTAGGATAATATGTGTAGACATACTGAGGCGTTTTGTGTAGGCTACTGTGAGGCATACTGTGAGGCATACTGTGAGGCATACTATGTAGGATACTATGTGTAGAAAACTGTGCCTAGGCATACTGAGGCATACTGTAGAGGCATACTGTAAATCATACTGTGAGTCATACTGCATAGGCATACTGTCTGTAGGCATACTAAAAAATTCCCAACAAACTAGTCATAAAATATTTTAGTATTATATTTTGAGATTTGAGATTTTGAAACTTACTGATGAATGAGGTTCTGTGTGTAGGATACTAATTGTAGGCACACTGTAAGGCATGCTTTGAGGCATAATATGTAGGCATAATGTGTGCTGGCATATTAAAAAAAATGAGTTTTCTACCAAACTAGTCAAAAAAAGATTTTATACTATTTTTGGAGATTTGAGATGCTGTGAGTCATACTGTGTGTAGGCATGCTAAATAAACAGATTTCTAACAAACAAGTCATAAAATTTTTCAGTTGTTTATTTTGAGTTTTGAGATTGTGAAAATAACTGACAATTGAGGGTCTGTGTCTAGGATACTGTGTGTAGGCATACTGAGACATACTCTGTAGGCATACTGTGAGGCATACTGTGAGGCATACTGTGTGTAGGCATATTGAAAAAACAGTCATTTAAATTAGTCGAAAAATGTTTTTGTTTTTTTTTGTTTGAGATTTGAGAATTTGAAACTTACTGATAAATGAGGCTCTGTGTCTAGGATAATATGTGTAGACATACTGAGGCGTTTTGTGTAGGCTACTGTGAGGCATACTGTGAGGCATACTGTGAGGCATACTATGTAGGATACTATGTGTAGAAAACTGTGCCTAGGCATACTGAGGCATACTGTAGAGGCATACTGTAAATCATACTGTGAGTCATACTGCATAGGCATACTTTCTGTAGGCATACTAAAAATTCCCAACAAACTAGTCATTAAATATTTTAGTATTATATTTTGAGATTTGAGATTTTGAAACTTACTGATGAATGAGGTTCTGTGTGTAGGATACTAATTGTAGGCACACTGTAAGGCATGCTTTGAGGCATAATATGTAGGCATAATGTGTGCTGGCATATTTTTTGGAGATTTGAGATGCTGTGAGTCATACTGTGTGTAGGCATGCTAAATAAACAGATTTCTAACAAACAAGTCATAAAATTTTTCAGTTGTTTATTTTGAGTTTTGAGATTGTGAAACTCACTGACAATTGAGACTCTGTGTCTAGGATACTGTGTGTAGGCAAACTGAGGCATACTTTGTATGCATACTGTGAGGCATACTGTGAGGCATACTGTGTGTAGGCATATTAAAAAAAAACAGATTTGTAACAAATTAGTCAAAAAATGTTTCTGTATTTTTATTTGAGAGTTTTGAGATATTGAAACTTACTAATAAGTGAGGGTCTGATTGTGAGGCATACTGTTTATAGACATACTGCGTGTAGGTATACTAAACAAAACAGTTTCCTAACAAACTAGTCAAAAAAGTTTTTTGAATACTATTTTGAGATTTGAGAATTTGAAACTTACTGATAAGTGAGGGTCTGTGTGTAGGATACTGTGTGCAGACTTACTGAGGCATATTGTGTAGGCATACTATGTAGGATACTGTGTGTAGGAAAACTGAGGCATACTGTAGAGGCATACTATGTAGGATACTATGTGTAGGAAACTGTGTGTAGGCATACTGAAGCATACTGTAGAGGCAAACTATGAGCCATACTGTGAGGCATACCATGTATGCATACTGTGTGTAGGCATACTAAAAGAACAGTTTTCTAACGAACAGTCATAAAATGTTTTAGTATTTTATTTTGAAGTTTGAAATTGTGAAACTTACTAATAAGTGAGGGTCTGACTGTGAGGCATACTGTGTAGGCATACTGTTTATAGACATACTGTGTGTAGGTATACTAAACAAAACAGTTTCCTAACAAAACAGTCAAAAAAAGTTTTTGTATGCTATTTTGAGATTTGAGAATTTGAAACTTACTGATAAGTGAGGGTCTCTGTGTAGAATACTGTGTGCAGACTTACTGAGGCATATTGTGTAGGCATACTATGTAGGATACTATGTGTAGGAAACTGTGTGTAGGCAAACTGAGGCATACTGTAGAGGCAAACTATGAGGCATACTGTGAGGCGTACCATGTAGGCATACTGTGTGTAGGCATACTAAAAGAACAGTTTTCTAACGAACAGTCATGAAATATTTTAGTATTTTGTTTTGAGGTTTGAAATTGTGAAACTTACTAATAAGTGAGGGTCTGACTGTGAGGCATACTGTGTAGGCATACTGTTTATAGACATACTGTGTGTAGGTATACTAAACAAAACAGTTTCCTAACAAACCAGTCAAAAAAAGTTTTTGTATGCTATTTTGAGATTTGAGAATTTGAAACTTACTGATAAGTGAGGGTCTGTGTGTAGGATACTGTGTGCAGACTTACCGAGGCATATTGTGTAGGCATACTGTGAGGCATACTGTGAGGCATACTATGTAGGATACTATGTGTAGGAAAACTGAGGCATACTGTAGAGGCATACTATGAGGCATACTGTGAGGCATAACGTGTAGGCATACTGTTTGTAGTCATACTAATAAAAACAGTTTTCTAACAAAGATTCATAAAATATTTTAGTATTGTGTTTTAAGATTTGAGAATTTGAAACTTACTGATCAGTGAGGCTCTGTGTGTAAGTTACTGTGTGCAGACATACTGAGGCATATTGTGTATGCATACTGTGAGGCATACGTGAGGCATACTATGTAGGATACTGTGTGTAGGATACTGTGTGTAGGCATACTGAGGCATACTGTAGAGGCATACTGTAAATCATACTTTGAGTCATACTGCATAGGCATACTGTCTGTAGGCATATTAATAAAAACACTTTTCTAACAAACTAGTTATAAAACGTTTTAATATTTTATTTTGAGATTTGAGATTGTGAAACTTACTAATAAGTGAGGGTCTGTGTCCAAAATACTGTGTATAGGCATACTGAGGCTATTGTGTAGGCATACTGTGAGGCATACTGTGAGGCATACTGTGTAGGCATATTTTGTGTAGGCATACTGTGTGTAGGCATACTGAAAAACACTTTTATAACAAACTAGTTAAAAAATGTTTTTGTGTACTATTTTGAGATTTGAGAGTTTGAAACTTAGTGATAAGTGAGGGTATGTGTGTAGGATACGGTTTGTAGACATACTGTAGAGGCATACTATTAGGCATACTGTGAGGCATCCTGTGTAGGCATACTGTGTGTAGCATACTAAACAAAACAGTTTTCTAACAAACTAGTCATAAAGTATTTCAGTATTTTATTTTGAGTTTTGAGATTGTGAAACTCACTGACAATTGAGGGTCTGTGTCTAGGATATTGTGTGTAGGCATACTGTGAGGCATACTGTGAGGCATACTGTGAGGCATACTGTGAGGCATACCGTGTAAGCATAATGTGTGTAGGCATACTGAAGCTTACTGCAGAGGCATACTATGCGGCACACTGTGAAGCATACTGTTTAGGCATACTGTGTGTAGACATAATAAAAAAAACAAATTTCAAACAAACTAGTCATAAAATATTTCAGTGTGATATTTTCAGATTTGAGAAATTGAAACTTACTGATAAGTGAGGGTCTGTGTGTAGGATACTGTGTGTAGGTATACTGTGAGGCATACTAAAAAGGCATACTGTGTGTAGGCATACTAACAAAACGGAGTTTTCTACCGAACAAATCACAAAAACTTTTAGTATTATAATTTGAGATTTGAGATGCTGTGGAGCATACTGTGAGGCATACTGTGTAGGATACTGTGTGTAGACATACTAAAGAAACAGTTTCCTAACAAACTTGTCTTAAAATATATCAGTATTGTATTTTCAGATTTGAGATTTTGATTGTTACTGATAAGAAAGGGTATGTGTGTAGGATACTGTGCGTAGGTATACTGTGAGGCATACTGTGAGGCATAAAAGAACAGTTTTCTAAGGAACAGTCATAAAATATTTTAGTTTTTTATTTTGAGGTTTGAAATTGTGAAACTTACTATTAAGTGAGGGTCTGACTGTGAGGCATACTGTGTAGGCATACTGTTTATAGACATACTGTGTGTAAGTAGACTAAACAAAACAGTTTCCTAACAAACTAGTCAAAAAAAGATTTTGTATACGTTTTTGAGATTTGAGAATTTGAAACTTACTGATCAGTGAGGCTCTGTGTGTAAGTTACTGTGTGCAGACATACTGAGGCATATTGTGTATGCATACTGTGAGGCATACTGTGAGGCATACTATGTAGGATACTGTGTGTAGGATACTGTGTGTAGGCAAACCGAGGCATACAGTAGAGGCATACCATGGGGCTTACCGTAAGGCATACTGTATAGGCACACTGTGTGTAGGCATATTAAAAAAAAACAGTTTTCTAACAAACTAGTTATAAAACATTTTAATATTTTATTTTGAGATTTGAGATTGTGAAATTTACTAATAAGTGAGGGGCTGTGTCCAAAATACTGTGTATAGGCATACTGAGGCTATTTGGTAGGCTTACTGTGAGGCATACTGTGAGGCATACTGTGTAGGCATATTTTGTGTAGGCATACTGTGTGTAGGCATACTGAAAAACACGTTTCTAACAAACTAGTTTAAAAAAGTTTTCGTATACTATTTTGAGATTTGAGAGTTTGAGACTTAGTGATAAATGAGGGTCTGTGTGTAGGATACGGTGTGTAGACGTACTGTAGAGGCATACTATGAGGCATACTGTGTAGGATACTGTGTGTAGGATACTGTGTGTAAGTATACTGAGGGATACTGTAGAGGCTCACTACGAGGCATACTGTGAGGCACACTGTGTAGACATACAGTGTATAGGCATACTAAAAAAAACAGATTTCTAACAAACAAGTCATAAAGTATTTCAGTATTTTATTTTGAGTTTTGAGATTGTGAAACTCACTGAAAACTGAGGGTCTGTGTCTAGGATACGGTGTGTAGACATACTGTAGAGGCAAACTGTGAGGCATCCCGTGTATAAATACTGTGTATAGGCACACTAAGAAAAACAGTTTTCTAAAAAACTAGTCATAAAAATTTTCAATTTTAGTTTTTGAGATTTGAGGTTTTGAAACTACTAGTAAGTGAGGGTATGTGTCTAGGATACTGCGTATAGGCATACTGAGGCTATCGTGTAGGCATACTGTGAGGCATACTGTGAGGCATACTGTGTAGGCATATTTTGTGTAGGCATACTGTGTGTAGGCATACTGAAAAACACTTTTATAACAAACTAGTTAAAAAATGTTTTTGTATACTATTTTGAGATTTGAGAGTTTGAAACTTAGTGATAAGTGAGGGTATGTGTGTAGGATACGGTGTGTAGACATACTGTAGAGGCATACTATTAGGCATACTGTGAGGCATCCCGTGTAGGCATACTGTGTATAGACATACTAAAAAAAACAGTTTTCTAACAAACTAGTCATAACCTATTTTAATATTTTATTTTGAGATTTGAGATTGTGAAACTTATTAATAAGTGAGGGTCTGCGTCTAAAAGACTGTGTATAGGCATACTGAGGCTTTTGTGTGGGCATACTGTGAGGCATACTGTGAGGCACACTGTGTAGACATACAGTGTATAGGCATACTAAAAAAAACAGATTTCTAACAAACAAGTCATAAAGTATTTCAGTATTTTATTTTGAGTTTTGAGATTGTGAAACTCACTGAAAACTGAGGGTCTGTGTCTAGGATACGGTGTGTAGACATACTGTAGAGGCAAACTGTGAGGCATCCCGTGTATAAATACTGTGTATAGGCACACTAAGAAAAACAGTTTTCTAAAAAACTAGTCATAAAAATTTTCAATTTTAGTTTTTGAGATTTGAGGTTTTGAAACTACTAGTAAGTGAGGGTATGTGTCTAGGATACTGCGTATAGGCATACTGAGGCTATCGTGTAGGCATACTGTGAGGCATACTGTGAGGCATACTGTGTAGGCATATTTTGTGTAGGCATACTGTGTGTAGGCATACTGAAAAACACTTTTATAACAAACTAGTTTAAAAATGTTTTTGTATACTATTTTGAGATTTGAGAGTTTGAAACTTAGTGATAAGTGAGGGTATGTGTGTAGGATACGGTGTGTAGACATACTGTAGAGGCATACTATTAGGCATACTGTGAGGCATCCCGTGTAGGCATACTGTGTATAGACATACTAAAAAAAACAGTTTTCTAACAAACTAGTCATAACCTATTTTAATATTTTATTTTGAGATTTGAGATTGTGAAACTTATTAATAAGTGAGGGTCTGCGTCTAAAAGACTGTGTATAGGCATACTGAGGCTTTTGTGTAGGCATACTGTGAGGCATACTGTGAGGCATACTGTGTAGGCATATTTTGTGTAGGCATACTTTGTGTAGGCATACTGAAAAACACTTTTATAACAAACTAGTTAAAAAATGTTTTTGTATACTATTTTGAGATTTGAGAGATTGAAACTTAGTGATAAGTGAGGGTATGTGTGTAGGATACGGTGTGTAGACATACTGTAGAGGCATACTATTAGGCATACTGTGAGGCATCCCGTGTAGGCATACTGTGTATAGACATACTAAAAAACAGTTTTCTAACAAACTAGTCATAACCTATTTTTGTATTTTATTTTGAGGTTTGAGATTGTGAAACTTATTAATAAGTGAGGGTCTGCGTCTAAAAGACTGTGTATAGGCATATTGAGGCTATTGTGTAGGCATACTGTGAGGCATACTGTGAGGCATACTGTGTAGGCATATTTTGTGTAGGCATACTGTGTGTAGGCATACTGAAAAACACTTTTATAACAAACTAGTTAAAAAATGTTTTTGTGTACTATTTTGAGATTTGAGAGTTTGAAACTTAGTGATAAGTGAGGGTATGTGTGTAGGATACGGTTTGTAGACATACTGTAGAGGCATACTATTAGGCATACTGTGAGGCATCCCGTGTAGGCATACTGTGTATAGACATACTCAAAAAACAGTTTTCTAACAAACTAGTCATAACCTATTTTAGTATTTTTTTTTTGAGATTTGAGATTGTGAAACTTATTAATAAGTGAGGGTCTGCGTCTAAAAGACTGTGTATAGGCATACTGAGGCTATTGTGTAGGCATACTGTGAGGCATACTGTGAGGCATACTGTGTAGGCATATTTTGTGTAGGCATACTGTGTGTAGGCATACTGAAAAACACTTTTGTAACAAACTAGTTAAAAAATGTTTTTGTATACTATTTTGAGATTTGAGAGTTTGAAACTTAGTGATAAGTGAGGGTATGTGTGTAGGATACGGTTTGTAGACATACTGTAGAGGCATACTATTAGGCATACTGTGAGGCATCCCGTGTAGGCATACTGTGTATAGACATACTAAAAAACAGTTTTCTAACAAACTAGTCATAACCTATTTTTGTATTTTATTTTGAGGTTTGAGATTG